ATCGAGCCTAACGAGCATTTTGATGCGGTTCAATTTTTTTAAACCATAATTAATCGAATTCATTGTCCAACCGTGCGATTTCATATGTGCTATGGATTGTATTCGAAAAGTATTGAAGTTAAAAAAAAAACAAAGACTAATTAAAAGTTGAAAAGTTTCAAGAAAATGTAAGATATGTAAAGTTAACATACTAGTATACAAACTCAATTACAGGAGGTAGATATTGGTACAAGAACTAAAGAAAAAAAATATGATGACAAGAACTAAAGCAAAAAAATATGATGATAAGCACTACCTGTTTAACACTAACAATGATGATAAGCACTACCTGTTTAACACTAACCAAGAACTAGCTAAAAAATATAAGACTACCTGTGTAACACCATTTATAAATTCCACCAACTCTTACTAGGATGATAAAGCAGTAATATGGAAAAATATGAATCCACCCACCATCAATACTGAACTAATTAAACCATATTTGAACATTACAATAACAAAGCAAAACACTTGCATATCAAATGATCTTAAGTTTCGAATAACAAAAGCAACACATGGTTTCTGAATTCCAGAAAATTACATGATTTCAATGTTAGTGTTACAAAATCATGTCACAAAACATACATCCAAAACATAATGTTCTCGAGAAATACTGCATAACTAAAAGGTCCCTGTTAATTTCATCCGAACGAATTCTGCTTTTGCACCCTCATCCAAGCTGAAGAACAAGTCTAGCTCATCCGTGTTCTTCACAAGTATCTTCGATATGAAAAGTTGTTCCTGCAAGTTCAAACCCTCAATGCCACGAACTACAGCAAACACATCCTTTCTTGCTTGGGACACATCGTACTCATAACCGATTCGTTTTGCAATTTCACATAACCGAGCACTTGTATTTTCAGAGAAGCTTCTCATGACATCACATAAAGGATCAGCAGATTCAATTGATTTCCGTTTGCGACCGCTACTTTTCTTACCTCCACTTGAGGAAGGCGAGATGCTTTCAGACAATGTTTCTGGAACATTTTCATCTTGGTCAAGTCCAAAATCATCAGTTGGTTGTGTTTCTGGGGTAGGTGATATATCAGGATTTCCAATGTTGACATTGCTGACCGCATCGAGAATGTCCTCGGCTTGTTCGCCCGTCGCCCGATCTTTTCCAAAAATGTGGATCCAGTCATAGTAGTATGGCCAACTTTTATATCGCATTAAGCGAGCATTTCCATCAACCTGTAAGAGGGGTATTTAATAAATTCAAATCTAGCAAGTACAACGACCATTTAAGTAAAAACTACAAATTGGTTACCTTTACATAATCAGCCCATATGTCGTCTGTTGTCTCGATCGTCATTGTGCTTTCATTCCAACCTATGCCAGACCTTGCAAGCATTGTGCACAAGCTCGCGTAGTCTTTCTTCCACACATGAATCTTGGAGTTGATGTGTGGCACTCCTCGTAAATCAGTTTCAGGCATTTGTTTCCTCAGTTCCTGTTCTAGAACGTTCAAAAACCCCATTCTGAATCCATTATTTGCTTTCCATCCAGTAGCGACAATTCCTTTCAGAGCCCCAATTAGAACTTCTTCCTCTTGCCTGCTCCAACTTCTCCTTCCTCTGTCTGCCCTTGGCTTTCTCACTTTTTGCCTTGCTCCACCAC